AGTGAAGGTAAAGGAAGATTTTCAGTAAAATCCCAGGTTCTTATCTTGGAGCTTTTCTTTCCATGCTGTTTTTGAGATGTATCTTGTGGCAGGTATAAGCTGATGTAGTGGCTGAGAGATATTTTAGACCAACTCCTGTGTCCCTTGTTAGTATTCATGTCTGTCGTATTTATTCTGAGAGCATAATGACAGTGTGGAAAGAAAATAAAAGCAAAGACAATGTAGGAAAAAAACCAACTGACCAGCAAAGTTTGAATAGTAATTTTCTGCATGATTTACAAAAAAATAGCTTGGTGAATGTTGAGTTGTGGCTTCTTAATTTCAGGGATTTAAATAGTCTTGTCTCCAAAAACTGTTCTGCAGCCTTTCCCTTTGTGTTTGTGTAGGAGAAAAGAGATCTGTGTAATAAACCAGGAAAAACAAACTTCAAAAAGCTTTGGGGAAAAAAAAAAAATCAAAGTAATACTTACAACAATACCTGTATTTATTTTTATACAAATGAAATATATTCGAGCTGTTTCTTGTGTTTACCACTGTCTTAACAAATTCATATTAGCTGCTTGTGATGTGTGTAAAAATCTAAATTTTGACGTGTGTAAAAATCTAAATTTTGATGTGTGTAAAAATCTAAATTTTGAGGCTTCGTGGCAGCCCTTGCTACGTACAAGGCCAGCTGAGTGGGAGGAGGATGGAGCTGAGGGTGTAACCCCTGTGACCACCACGGGCCCATTTTTTCTCCCTGCTGAGCACCTGCCTAGGCAGGTCTAACAAAATGGGGAAAGAAGCATGTTGTTTCTTCAGGAGCCAGATTTTCCTGGAGATCTTTGGTTGTGGAGTTGTACCTTTATGCTAAAGGGACGGGGGAGCATTTGACATGCAAAGGGAGGAAGGTGCTGGGAATGAAGTGTTAAGCTAAGAAGTTTCCAGAGGGGTATGTGATAAATCCTGGTGCACAAGACTGGGGGTTAATCCTATTGACTGTGGTGGCTTGTGAATCAAGCTTTGTCTTTTCTCCTTTTTTTTTTTGTCTTTTCTTTGGTTAGTGGGGGTTTTTTTGTTGTTGTTTTTTTTTTTTTTTCTCCTTTTTTTTTTTGTCTTTTCTTTGGTTAGGGGGGGTTTTTTTGTTGTTTTTTTTTTTTTTTTCTGCCCTCTCTGTTCTCTCACTGCTGGCCCATCGAGTTGGGTGCGCACCCTGAGGTGCTGCTCACACCCAGCTCTGCTGGCATCCTGGTGCAGGCAGGAATGGGGCCAAGGTGCTTGCTTTAATGACTGCAAAATCGCCATAATTTGGATAAGATAGCTAACTTCAGCTCTTTCTGTGTTTCACTGATTTTTATTTTTTTTTTGATTCCTTAGAGATCCACAGATCCATAACAAAATACCCTGTTAATGGCACATTACTAATTTGGTTGTAAAGTAGGTGAAAATAGACGCTGAAAAAAATATGCTAAAAGGGAAATTAAAAACATGAGCACAGAATCTTGCTTAAAGACCATGCAATTCTCACAGGCAGATTCCACCGAGGGCTGCAACAGGAATGCAAATGTGGTCCTTAAGCTTTCTCAAAAACAACATCCAAGCCATAATCAATGTGCTGGCTTTTGTTCTATGCTCTAGGTGTTGGAGATGGGATCACGTGAGCCTCCCTGTGACAGATATTGTCCACTTTGTGTGGCTCTCTGGCTTTAGCTGGAATTGCCTTAACTAAAAAAAAATAAATTAAAAATATATATAGTTTAACTGAGCTTGTAATAAGTGCATGTAAAGGAAACTTTTGCCTGTCTCTGTCATGGTGAAGGAATAAGAAAACTTAGAGATGCTGAGCATCAGCAGGTCTGGCTGGCAGCTGGGCACACCTGGCTCACCTGAGTGCTAGAAAGAACCAGCCTGGGTCTGACTGAGCCTTGACAGCCCCCACTCAGCTGAGCTTCAAGGGCATCGGCACAAACAGGGCAGATTGTACCTTCCCTTCACAGGTTTCCAGCACACCCTTGGTCTGCCCAGACTGTCTTGCTCTGCACTCTGGGATTTCCTGGTCTCCCAGGAAAGCACCCAGGACAAGTCACTCCAAGGATCTTGGCCCTGCCAGACTGATTCCAAAACGTCTTGGTTTGTGAAGTAATCTGAGCCCATTCAAATTAAATACATGTTCACAAGCCCTGCTTAACCTGCGTGGAGTTTAACCAGATGTAAAAACTGAACGAGAGATGTGCATTTCAACTTTGTGCATGAAAAGGAAAAATAGATGGAATGACTCAACAAGAAGCAAATCCCTAGAACTGCCATCCAGGCCAGTGTGATGTACAGCTGCTCCTCGGCCTAGGTAAGGGGAAATGAAAGAATTGGTCCAGGATAGCAAGAAGAACCACAGCCCAGGGATGAGAATGGCTCCAGGGCTGGCTGTGGCAGAGGAGGCAGGGAAATATTAGAATGTAAAGAGTTAAGCTATGGTAAAACATACTTTTGCTACACTAAAGAAGACTGGTTGATAATTACTGTAGTTTTAGGGCTATTTGAATCAGTGCAGCTGCAACCTCTTCAGTAGTAACCCCTGAAACAAGACAAACTGGGTTTATTGTACTGAACAAGTCTTAAAGCTCCTCCCTGATTGTTAGTAATTGGCAGCAATGGACTTAACAGCCTCTTGACTACCCTTTTTACACTCTACCTGACTGTGCAGCTAACAATTTAAATCACAGATGCCGATCCTTCTTTGTGGCAGCTGCTTGTTAACTACACGTTCCTCTTTTTCTGCCACTGGCTGCTTCCATAACCCTGCAACACCAGGGTTAGATTGGAGAATCACATTTCATCAATATTTAAAATGGAATTAAACCTTGAAGTTTGATTAATGCTACCAGATAGTGAGTTGTAATTACTATTTTGCAAATTACAATTGTTTGAATATGTTAATATGATTGTCTAAGCACATCTTCACCTTCAGAAGTAATTTTCCTTTTAAAAAAGATTTGAAAAAAATACAAACTCTTTAATCAGTGCTAAATTATCACCCTGTGCACAATTAGGTAGAATGGGGTTCTTCGTGTGGTGTGCTGAATTTTGTGTCAGCATATTTATCTTTAAAAGTTTATCCATTTTTTAGATTTTCCTCAGTAGAATAAACAGTGATGGAACAGACTTTGCTGAAAGAGGTCTAACCATGCTGGTGTTTGAAGGTAAAGGGGAAAAGCTTTGTCTGAGCATTTCACTGCAATCTGGTGTATCCCTGTGCAGTTAGTAAATGTTACGCAGGTATTTCTTCCAAAGTCAGTGAAATATTATCATTATTATCATGACATTATTGGAATCTTGAAACTGAAACAGCAAAAGATTGTAATGGATGAGCTCGTGAATTATTTCCTTGTGTCTCAATCAAAAATGAGATCAGTTTCTAGCACCCACTAAATATATCTTGAATATTGTGGGTGAGCTCCTCAGCCAGCCCACACTGGGCCAGCTCTCTGTCATTTTTGTGATTAATTCAGCCTGTTTTCATTACCAGGCACAGGCACATGGAGCCAACCCTGGCAGCCACCTGCAGGACTGGTCCCCAGAAACAGCACCAGCCCACAAAAGATGATTAAAGCCAACAGGTCACTCTGGGAGCCTCTCTAGGTAAACAGGACCCAGCTAAAGCTGCTGGCTGTAATGTGTTCCTCTAAGAATCCCATTTCAAAATTGGTTCAAATACTGCCTGGCAAGTTTCTGCCTTGTTTTGGGGGGCTTTAGGGGAAGTTCCAAATGTTGGCAAAGTCCAGACAGGTGTCACAACCACTGTGAGGTGTATTCCACAGCGAGCTCGAAGTGCAGCCCACTCAAATCAGTGATTTCTGCTCTCTGCAAAATGAAACCACTTGCCTCCTTTCCAGTGTTCAGGCTAAAAGTAGTGGCAGAAGAGATTTCCCCAAATACCACACTCCAGATTTATCTCTCAGCTGGGATTAGAAACAGCTGAAAATTCAGGGTGGCCTTGCTTCAGGGTGCTTCCAAGGGATGACATGAGAACACACTGTAATTTAGGTGCGTTTAATCTTGCTATATTAAATGCATATTGCAAAGTTTAGAATTATTTGCTTTTAACTATCATGTTTCTGTGTTGCTTATGGAAACCTCAGCTGTGAGAGACTTCTGAGGACTCTGCATGCTTAGGTGCCTGCCATGGCACAGAGCTGAGACTGACAGCACTGGCAGAACTGGCATGGAGGCTTCTCTTAACTATTGCTTTCCCAGGAAAACACCCAGAAGTTTGATAAAATGAGAATACCCAGTGGTTTGAACAGGGGAAAAATGACACTGTTCACCTTTAGAACCTTGTCTGACTGTGTTAGGTCTTGGCAGCTGTAAGTGCTCCTGATGTCTTAGGGGCTGTGCACTCTGAAATTCAGACCCGTGGCTCCCTCCCCTGCCCACTGAACCTGATGTGAGTGGGTGCCACCCCTGGGTGTGCTCAGCCAGAGCCCAGGAGGGCAGCTGGTGTCCCTGGGATGTGCCACCACCAGGACAGGGAGCACTGGGAGCCCAGCCCTGCCCAGAGCTGTGCGTGCCCAGCTTTGAGGGCTGTGTTTGGATGCTCTGTGTTTACAGCACGCCATCCTCCAGCAGCAGCTGAGCTTCCTCCCCGTGTGCAGAGGGCCAAGCACACGCAGCCCAGTGTAAACAACAATATCACTGAATTCTTCCACATCCCTGACTCCTCCCAGCACCCGCAGCGCAGTTTATCATCTTCTCCCACTGCACAATCACAATGACCTGTGATAGCATCTCAGCCATGGGCTCTGCCTGGCACACCCCTTCCATTTCCACTGCCCCCTCCAGGTCCCTAGCACCCCTTTCCTTACTGCACCTGACCCCACCAACATCAAGGCTGGCAAGAAAATGGAAAATATGTTTTCAATTAACCTTTGCTTCCACCCACAAATTCTCACCCTTCCATTCTCTTTTAATTACTGTCATTCCAAAATGGCCCCCAAATGAACTTTCCATCTCTTGTAAAAGTTGTTTTCACATGAGCTGTACATTGAATGTAAGTGCTATAAGACTTGTGTGTAACCTATTTAATGGATTCACAATAGGATGGTTAGCACCCAAACAAAGGTGTTATTCTTGGCATGCCACTCTTTGGAACTGAAACTTCCACAACTTTCAAAAAGATAAGGCCAGGAAACCAGAAGGAACAATATATCTGCAAAAGCTCTAGCTACTGGAATTACCGTAGTAACTTCCATCATGATGCAAATGTTAATATTATCACTGCTGGCCATAGCCTGGGATATAAATTGTGTTGGTTCATAATCTATTTTGCTGAATGGAGGATGTTTCAGATTAAAACATGCAAGCCAAATTTAATCTAAAAATGTGCTTGGTTGCTCAGATGAGAAGTCTCCAAGTATCTCTGTCTGTCACCTGGGCAGACTTTGGCACTGAAAGACATATGTATGAATTTTGCAATGGCATCCAAAATGTGCTTGATCTTCACACATTTCTATACAAAAAGATACAAAAAGACCATATGATGGGTAGGAAAATTGGTCCAACATTTAAAAAAGTGTTTAGGGTAGAGTAAGGGAAAAAAAAAGGTAAGAAAACCCCCTCAACTTCTCATAGGAGTGTGGGATTGTCATTTGAATTGGACTCAGTTTCTCTCTGCCATCTTCACTGCTCAGCCCTTTGCCTTGCCCACTCAGCAGTCCCACTGTGATACTTGCCAGGGTTCTGCCTCTCCTCCTGCTGAGATCTGGCTCCTCAATTCATTTATTTGTTAAGCATTGGGGATTATTTAGATCCAGAGCTCAGACACTGGAACAAAAGCTATCTAACTAAAAAAATAGGAAGAGTTAGATAAGTGACACTTTGAAGATCCAGATCAAAGAGTTATAATACAATTTCTGACCTGCTTCTGGATGTAATATTTTCCAAAGATTTTGGCTACCATAGAGTCTGGAAAGCAAGTACCAGAAAACTGGAATTGTATGAATGTGGCTAAAAACCTATGTCCTGGAACTGGATCCAAGGGGAAAAAGTATGTGGGAGATGGGGGAGACAAGACCAGAAGGTGAATTTGTAGGTAGCTCTGTAGAACCTTGTGGACAAAGAAGAAGCTGAATGCCATGGCAGAGAGAGAAAATATTTTTTGCAGTGGTATTTTGGAGGAATATGAATCAAAGAGGCCAGAAGGAGGAACTAGCAGTAAAAAGGACAAGCACTGCAGCTGCTGCAAGAAAAGCAAAGGGCCACTCGCATTCGTATGCTCTGCTTGTGTAAAGGGAGAGCAGCATTGGCTCTCTGCTTTACAGCCCTGCTTTCAGAAATAAGTTTGTCAGCCAAAGTAAAGAGAAAAAGATCAATGGATTGCAATAAACGGCATTTAACATAAAAATGAGTAAAATTTACAATCCAGTTAACTTGTTAAATGTTACAAAATCAGCAAACAATAGACACAATTTGTTTTGTTCAGAGCCCAGAGGTAGAGACCAAATCCTCTAAATTAATTTCTGCAAAAGCTGGGGTTTTTTTCCAAACAGGTCTGGATCCTATTCGTTGTAGAATATACTGATTACCAACTATTTTTAAGAGCTTTACACAAACATTATTTCTTTTGTTGTGTGAAATGCAGAATCAGCCATCTGGCAAATGCCCCAGAGCTAAAATCTTTTACATGACATATAATTCAAAATGATTAAATATACAACAGAAAATAGCTATAGCATTGCACTTAAAATAGCATGAACTTTTACTGCCGATCAAAACTGATTTCTTTAGCCTAACAAGTATCCAAAGAACAATTATTTGAAGAGCTTTTAAGAGTTTCAATATGTAGGAACTAAACCTCATCTAAATTCAGTATCTTAAGTCAAATAAAAAAGAAACAAATGTACAAAAGATTAAATGGTCCTGCCTTATAAGTAGACATTTAAATCTATGGGAAGCTAAATTCATTCGAACAAAAATACTATATTCCCTCTGTATGTGTATTGCTGGGGCTTTCCTCTCCTTGCTCAGGGCATCTGCCAAAACATTCTTAGGCAATGACATGGGGACTAGCCTGGAATCAGGCTGTTCATCCCCTCCCTCCATCATCAGAACGGGCAATTTCAAAGAAGAACAGGGAATAAAGCTCCGTGCATGATCCCTCAGTGCAGTCAATCTTTTTTCCTGCACCGCAGTTGACTCGAAGTTAAATTTGCTGTCTTTTTTCCAGAAATACTCCAGGCCTGAAAAATTGCCAGGTCCTCATCCCACACCCAATTCTCCAGTAGTTTCTGAGAAAGAGCACGCAAACATCTGCATGTATTTGGGGTACATGAGGGTAGGTATAGAAATATTACCCTGAGCGATTATTGAGTGGTTATGGCTGTTTCTCAACTGCATTTTTCAGACAAGTCAAAGTCTACATTTCCCAAAAAGCACTTGGTGCAAGACAGATCTGAGTTGTGTGAAAAAAAAAGTCCAAATGTAGATTTCTCTCATGGATTTGTGTACTTGGATAAACCTGAAATGGTTGAACACATCGTTGCTGACTGTCCAAAATATTTGTGCTTCTCAGTTCTTTCAGACCAAGCTTGAGTTCTCCATCCCAAGGTAACAACATGAGGAAACTATAAGTCTGTGATTAATAAGGCTTAGAATTAAAATGGCTTTGTCCCCTTGCCTGGGGAGTCAGGCCAGTCTCACAACCTCAGTTCTAACCCCAGACTTCTCTAAACTATACGAAAATAATGTTCTTGAATCTTGACCTTTTCAGCTCATAATGATTCCTGAAGCAGCAGGATTTTTCCTGCTGCTTTTCACGAGACTTTCAGGCTTGTAGAAATGCTGATTGCAGGCTGGCTTGGGACTGCAGCAGCACCAAACCCCCTCTTAATAAGACACTTGTCCTGGTCTTCTAGGCCTAATCCTGCTCTTAATTCAGTTCCCTGACTGAGCTCTGAGTGAAAAGGCAGATTTTGTGCCTTTCTGCTCTTGATTTACAGGAAGAGGTACAAATATATTTCAGGTAATATTGACTGCACTACAGGAAGCTCTCCTATGCACCATACTAATTAAACCTGAAGAAGAAATATGAAAATAGTGGAATAAATATTCTCATATTAGAATGAGGAAAAGCATGTTTTATATTATTTAACCTATCCCTGTGAAAACCACAGGAGAAACAAGGAAATTTTCATCAGAAATATCTTTGCTTTTCATCAAGACAGGTGACCCAGGAAATCTGCTGAGATCTTTTCCATCTCAGTATAAAAAATGTCCTTGTTTTGATGGTATTTTCTCTTTGAAAGTTATGGGTTTTTCTGATATTTAGAGGGCCTAAAATCTGACTGTCACAGCTTTTTTTGTACCTCTCTGCTTTGCATTAAGAATAATGTCTTGTAGTTTCTACTTTTCACTGAAAAACTGGGAAATCTTCCGATCTTTCTATTGACCAAACTCTGTTAAAAAGGTGCCAGGAGTCCTATTTCTGGGAGGAAAAAAAAAAAAAGACAGGAATACTCCTGGTGAAACAGGAGCCTGGTCCCGGTATCTATTAAAAATAAACAATGTATCTTCTTACAAATGAGCCTTCCCATTCTTATTTATGTGCTCAATTTTGCGTACTTTGCAATACTGGCAAAAAGCAAAGCTTGAAGAACACATGGAGAACCAAGAGAAACTTGAGCATCCCCAAGGAAACAGAGGTTTAGGGACGGGGTAATAACTGCGAGGCTGTGATGAGAATTTGGAAAAGTTTGCTAGATAAAAACTCTAACAAAGCTGTTGCTGTCACTTCACTCCCAGGGCCTGGTTGTGTTTTCACGACGGGCCTTTGCGCCGCTCCAGCCGCGAGAGCTCGGCGAGTAAATGAGGCTCAGACCTCCGAGCTCGAGGCGTGCAGGGCTTGCCAGGCTCCTCAGGAGCCTCCCCGGGGCTCCACATCCTCTCATGTCCACGGAGAAGTGCTGGAAGCAAGCTCAGGAGTTTCCAAGGGCGGCTGCTCTGCCCTGCTCCGGAGCCGTACCTGGGCGCTGCCAGCCTGGGGCCAAGGCCGTGCCCAGGCCCAGGGATTCCTCCTCTTCACAAACAATTAGCAATTGCTTCATAATAGAGCCGGGGTGAAAGGTGAGGACTGGAGTATTCTGAAGCCTGCTGCCAGCCCTGAGGAAGATAGTGTCATTTTGGTAAACCTGTCAAGCTGTTGTAAGAGCTTCCTGAATGCTTCCTACCATCTGCTTTTGATGCTTTCAAGACTTGGCTGCAAGCCTGGAGGTTTTCCTGCTCTTTCCTGCCCAACCTATAATGGAGTAATTCTGGATCTGTTCCCTGTCATCTCAGCCTCTTCCTCAGTTTCTTCTGCTTACAGCTGGGTTTTTTTTAATTTTTTTTTTCTCTTTACTTCAGTGGCCTTGTGCCCTGAATCATCTCTCCTGGGGCGGCAGGAGTTCCTCTGATGTTGAACAAGTGCCGGGTTTTTCAATTGTGTTCATGTTCTTGAGAGGAAGGGTCTGGCCTACATGACACATTCCTTCTTCACACTCACATCAACAACTTTAACTTTGTGTGCAGGCCCTGTGGAAGGGCCACACCAAGCCCATCTCCAGCGCTCTGTCAGGCCGCACGCTGCGCCGCGCTGCTGGGCCAGTATTGATTGGTATAATTTGGAGGGTTTGAGATAAATGTCATGAAGGACAATGAGTTCAAAGAACAGATTAAAAAACAATAAATTGAATTCCAAGGCGTTCCCTCCTGTACTAATCTGTGTAGGTTCCTGTGTTTTTGGAAAGCATGTTGCTTATCTTCCTCATCAGTAGGCCCACTGCATTCCAGTATTTTGGATCAATGCCATTTGTAATAATCTAGATCAGTTTTTATTCAACGTTTATAAAACAGGCCATGTATCACAGGGTATATTTTATAGCAGATGGTATCTCCAATTCATTTAACCCCTCCCCACTTCCCTCCTCCAATATCACAGTGCACACTCACAAAAGCTCTTGAAAGTAGAGCGGAGCAGAATTTTTTTACAACAAATAGTAAATCTGCTGAAAAATGGAGTTTCCAAGCAACAAAACTGTTAAACTGTATCACACTGAAAATGAAACATTCTGTTTTCTAGAAAAAAAAAAAAAGAGATTTTGCAATTTGGACATTTGAGGGAAAAAAAAAAGCAGGGTGGGTGGCTGCCTTCAGAAATCAGTTTCATTTTAAAACCCTCTGTACTGAAAAAGTGATAAACACAAAGATTAAATAGCCAGAACACAAAGTAGGGTGTTTTTCAGGTCAGATTACATTTTTTAAGTTATCCCAGTGTCAACTCTTTGGGGATCTTCTGTGGCTTTTAATTTGAAAAGTTTCTTTTTTGGCTTGGTAAGAACTCATTTTCCCCAAGGTTTATTAATTTGAGGACCTATCCATGTATTTGCCAGACTCTACTCCAAACACAGCTCTCCAAGGTGAAGGTTTCCTGCCCAGGAAGGTAAGACCCAGACTCATTTTAATAAACTGGACTATTCCAGCATGTAGAGACAAGCAGATGCTTCAGCACTTTGCTGGTTGACAACATGGAGCTTTTCAGCTTTCAGGATCAGTGATGTGCCCCTCACAACCACTCCCTTGCTTGAGATCATTAACAGGAGAGACTGAAGATTTTTCTGAGATTAACATACCAAATGGCAATAAAACATATTTATTCATATATGCTTGGGAATACTTCATTGTAATTTTGCAAAATATGATTTGTACAGCTCTGGGGATACATAAATCACTGATAAAATAAATAAGTTAAAGATATTTTAGCTCAGTGATAATAGAACCAAGTCATGGAGTTGTTTATATTTTGGCTTTAATCAGGCAGCCTAGAAGATATAACAAACCCTTCTTAGTTTACCTTGCAGAAGAAGTTAAATCATACCTGCATTTCTCAGAAACTTGCGTTTGTAGTCAACAACTACTCTGGTTTTGGGGTTATAGAATCCATCACCACAGTCATAACAACCTTTTGGGATTATTTTGGGAGGATCCAGATTTGTAAGCTGAGCAATGCCTGAAGGGGAAAAACAAGGTTTGATTTTTTTTCTTGAATTTATACCTTTGATCAAGATAACTAACATACATCTCCATGGTGTTTGCTATAAAACTAACAGAGTTACCTCACAATACATTTTGCAAAACATTTTGTCAATTTGCAGATGGGGAAAATGGAAATGGAAAAATGCACACACAAATGTTGTGTGATAAAAAAATGATCACTTTGATTTCCTCATTCACAGCCCTGTGATTCAGCCCACCAAGTTAACATTACAAGTCCAACCCTAAAATCCAAAATGGGGCCAGGAGAGACTTGCTGGCTTCACAGAACTCCGTGTCATCACTAAAATATTCTATGTATTGTGCATATTAAGTTACAGATTTTACTCATTTTTTTCCCTTATAAACCCACCTTTTGACTACAATAAATAACGACATTATAGAAGTCTTTAGAAAAATACAGACTGAACACAAACGTCTGTTTTGGTATCTTCTAAAAAGCTACGTGGGGCAGATGCTTGAAGCTTCATTTGGTGTCCTGGATGCAAACTAATTCCTTTTGCTCAGCTTCTCTGTATCAAAAGCACCCTGCTGACGCAGTGAGGGGGCATGAAAGGGTTAATCAGGATGTCAAAAGCTGCAGATAATAAAGGCCTGTCCTGCCCCAGGAGAGCCCAGAGCTGCACCCCAGGCTGTGCTGCTGGAAGGTGGTGTCCACATTCTCCTGGCAGCATCTCAGGCCCGTATGAAATTAGCCAGAGCATTTCTGCTCCATGTTACTCATGTAGCTGAATTAATCTTTCTTAAGCAAAGTTGTTAGTTTAATTCCTTCCAGACTCTCAGGATCGCAAATGCAATTTAGTACCTGGTGGTTTAAAACCAGAACAGATTTCTGTATAGAATCTTCTGTCGTAGCCGTCGCAGTAAAGCCATTTTTCCTGCTCGTATTCGAGACCATCTGTAAAAGTGTATTTCCCCTGCAAAACACGTTTGAGTGCAGCGTTAATAAACGTGATGGATGGACGGCACCAGGGCCGGGTCGCACGGGCAGAGCCGCAGCAGGGCCAGCGCGGCCCCGCTCGCCTTCTGCCGGGAGCCCTGCGCGGTGCCCGGCCCCCCGAGGGGTCAAACCCTGCCTGGGCTCGGGACCCCGCGGGTGTCACCCCCGGCCGTACCTGCGTGGGCACCCCGCGGTCCCAGAGCGCCCGGTAGGCACCGCCCGTGGGGCGCCGCAGCTCGCCCTGCCCGTGGAACATCCCGTCCCACAGCGAGCCCCGGTACTGGGTGCCCACCGGCAGCGCGTAGTAGCCGAATCCTTCCATCCTGGAAGACATGGGGAAGGTGGACGGTGGCAACCCCGCACCCGCCGGTCCCAACAAACCTAATCGTCTCAGAGAACTGATGTGATGGCCACAAGCAGTGTCTACCAACAGATGTCCTGAGGCCTCAGCTGCCCAGGCCTTCATTTCCCACAGCTCACAGCCCCTTCTCTGCCACCTACCAGACCCTGTAGCGCCATCACTGCAGCAGCCCCAGCAGCCTCACTGAGCACAGGTACAGCGACACTGTACACTGGGGACAGGGACACTGGTGCTTTGTGCCAGCACTTGGCTCCTGGGGAGCCCCCTGCCACCCTCCCCTTGTCCCCATAGCCCATCTGCAACGCCAGTTTCTCCCCTGCCCTCCCAGCACCCCCTTGCCCTCCCCCGCGCCCCGCTCCCGCGCGTCCCCCGCGCACCCCGCTGGGCCCTCCCTCACCCCGTGCTCCCCTCGCCCCTTCCCGGACCCCCCGCTTGCACCTTCCCCAGCACCCCCCGTGCCCATTCCGGTGCCCTGGTGCCCCGTTGTGCCCCGGTGTGTCCCGTTGTGCCCCACCTGCCGCGCAGGACGCCCCCCAGGTACCGATCCCCCACCAGCTCCATGGCGGCCCCCACGCCGCGTCCCGGTCACCGGGGCAACGGCCCCGCCCCGGCCCCGCCCCGGCCCCGCCCCCGCGGCCGCGCCTGCGCGGTGCGGTGCGGGCGCTGAGGGCGCTCAAGGAGAGCCGCCATGCCCGGGGTGCTGCGGGTGCCCCCGCTCGAGGAGCTCGATGTGCCGGAGGTGAGTGCGTGAGCGCCCGCGGGGCCTTCCCCGCCCCGCCCTGCCTTCCCCGCCCGCCCTCACGGCCGCTGTGCCCCGCCGCAGGTGGCGGTGAGCTCGTCCGTGCTGAAGGCCGCGGCGCACCACTACGGCTCGCAGTGCGACCGGCCCAACAAGGAGTTCATGCTGTGCCGCTGGGAGGAGAAGGACCCGCGCAAGTGCCTGAGGGAGGGCCGCCAGGTGAACCAGTGCGCCCTCGACTTCTTCAGGTGAGCGGGGCCCGGCCGGAGGCGCTGCCGCAGCCCCGCGGCCTGGGGGTGACGGTGCTGCGGGGCCGGGCCCGGCGGGGCCGCTCCAGCCGAGCGCCGCTGCTGTGGGGACAGCCCGGAGAGCTGCGGCTCCTCGGCCTGGGGTGACCTTAGTGCTGCTCTCAGTACCAGCAGGGAGAGCTGGAGAGGGATTGGTGACAAGCGTATGTGATGTGACAGGCCAAGGGGGCATGGCTTCACACTGACAGAGGGCAGCTTTGGGTTAGGTGTTAGGAAGGAGTCTTGCCCTCTGAGGGTGGTGAGGCCCTGGCACAGGGTGCCCAGAGAAGCTGTGGCTTCCCCATCCCTGAAAGTGTCCAAGGCCAGGTTGGATGAGGTTTGGAGCAACCTGGCATAGTGAAAGGTGTCCCATGGCAGGGAGTGGAATGAGATGAACTTTAAGGTTCCTGCCAACCCAAACTATTCTGTAATTCCATTATTGTAGTTAAAAATGCTGCCGCCATCACCGCCTTCAAAACTTTTATACTTTCTTCTTAAACTTTAACTCCTGGGAGTAGGGGCCACTACTTTTTTTCTTGCTTATTTATACATGGATTCATCCTGTCACTTGAAGCTCTTTTGCCTTTGTTCCAGAGCAAGCAGCCTGGGTTTTTGTTGGGAACTCAGGGCAGTGGTGTGAGGCTGCTGCACCTTGCAGCTGTGTGATGAACTCCAGAAACCAACCTGAGCACTGCATTGTCCTCCCTGTCCCACAGGTGACCCACTGAGAAAGCTTGAGCAGGTGCACCACCTGCCTCTCCTGGCCAAACACACAGCTCCAAGGCACGTGCCAGTGCTGTTTACACAGCACCTAATTTAATTACCTCACGGCACATCCACCTCCCGTGCAGCAGCTCAAACCTCTGCTCTAAGCATGGCTTTCTGAGCTTTAGACACGAGATTATTTGGAAGCATTAGAGCACCTTATTATATTACTAAATGATTTGGCAAAACAAAAGATGTCCCGTGGAGGAGCTGTGAACATCCACGCAACAAAAACCTCCTCCTCATACCCACAAAAACCTCTTCCACAGACCCACAAAAACCTCCTCCACAGACCCACAAAAACCTCCTCCAGAGACCCACAAAAACCTCCTCCAGAGACCCACAAAAACCTCCTCATAGACCCACAAAAACCTTCTCCTCATACCCACAAAAACCTCCTCATACCCACAAAAACCTCCTCATAGACCCACAAAAACCTCCTCATAGACCCACAAAAACCTCCTCCTCATACCCACAAAAACCTCCTCCTCATACCCACAAAAACGTCCTCACAGACCCACAAAGACCTCCTCCTCATACCCACAAAAACCTCCTCATAGACCCACAAAAACCTTCTCCTCATACCCACAAAAACCTCCTCATACCCACAAAAACCTCCTCATAGACCCACAAAAACCTCCTCATACCCACAAAAACCTCCTCCACACACCGGTTCAGTCACTGCTGCCATTAATCGTAGCCGCGGCGATGGAGGTTTCACAGGTACCCGTATCAAACACTGGCTTGAGTGAGGGTTTAGATGTTCCTGAGAGCCCAAAGCTGCACAGCCCGAGCCGCGGCTGGCAGGAGCGGGGCCTGAGCAGCGTTTCTGAGGGCTCTGCTGTGGTGTCCCCAGGAGCATCCGGACGCACTGCGCCGAGCCCTTCACGGCCTACTGGACGTGCATCGACTACACCGGGCAGCAGGAGCTGCGCCGCTGCCGCAAGCAGCAGGCAGCCTTCGACTCCTGCGTGCTGGACAAGCTGGGCTGGGTCAGGCCCGACCTGGGGGACCTCTCCAAGGTAACTGCTTATCCCTCGGGCCGCACAGATCACAGATCCTGCTCTCCTTCCTTCGTGTGTGTTTTGTCCAGACCAGCTCTCCGGCGTCTCTTGGCCTGGTGGTGTTTTGTGAACTCAGCGCTGGAAGTTGGTGGGGTAGTAGAAGTCAAGACTGGCAGTGTTTTCTGGGGTTGCTTTTCCAGAAGGCTCCTGCTTTTCTTAGACAATGAAATTCTTGCTTTTTGCTTTTCCGGGTAGAGGCTTTTCCTTTAGGAACGAAGCTCATGCTCACGTGGAGCTACTCTGTAGTTGTGATGAAACACCCCTCCCTTCCCTTTTCTTAGAAGTATTGAGGAGCTCTCATCAGCTGAACAATGTGTCCTTGCTATTGTTTGGTTCTTCTTGGTAGTTCTTCCTTGAAGTTCTGACTCAACCTGGCTGTTCAATGCTGTGAGAAGTTGTATCACTTCTTTGCATTTCTTTCCAGGTTACGAAGGTGAAGACAGACCGTCCTCTGCCTGAGAATGCCTACCACTCTAGACCCAGACCAGAGCCCAACCCACCCACAGAAGGGGAGCTGAAGCCCTCTCCCCTTGGCAGCAGGCTCTTTTTCTGGTCCTGGTGAAGTGGGCAGGCTGTGCTGTGACTCAAGTGCAGACATGTGGCACTTGCACATGTAAATTGTGTGGTGTGTGCTGGGTATCACTAATAATTAAAGAGCCCAAACCATTACATGGCTGAGCAGACTTCTTTAAACTCATAGCAACGAGAACAATGCATTTCCCTGTTTTGCTCAGCCCTGGGGACCCTCTGGGCACCAGTAACGTCAGCTGGTTGATCATGATTACCAGGATTGTCTGTCATGTGTGCAAACGTAGTTCCAGTCTTTGACTGCTGGCCCATCAATCACAAACTGGCGTGAGACTTGATTTACTTACTGAGAACATTGCCTCATGGATCAAGGAAACTCTGGGAACAAACAAGTCATTAATGTCTTCCCTTAGTCTTGCAACTGATAATTGTGAATTCTTTCCAAGGGACTCCTGTAGGGGTTTAACCTAAAATCTGTCTTGGAGCGAGGGGTCAGTGGAATCTGGCATTTGCCAGGTGTGGGGGCAGTGCAGTTTCTGCCATGAAGATCCCTGTTGTGCTTCCCAGCTGCTCATACAACATTGGTTAGGGACTTCCACTTTTTGGAGTGTTCTATTGGGGGAACACAAGCTACTTTTTCAGAAGAATCACATTAAATTTTCACCACCTTTCAGGAAGAAATTTCTCCTAAAGGATCTTGTGCCCCATTAAGCAGGGTAGGAAAGGAGCTTTTATTCTGACTGAAAAGGTTTGGGGCAAATCCTTCCCAATTTTTCACTGTGATCTTCTTTCTGATGGAGGAGTTAGTGAGCTTTTTAAAATGTATTTTTTGTACAATATCTGAAAGTCACATTTTTCATAGGAGTTGGATTTAGTATTTCGTTTATCCAATCGTAAAAACCTTTTTATCAAGGTCAGAAAAAATCCAATGAACTTTTTATCAAGGTCAATAAAAATCCAATGAACTTGTTTTTCCAAAGCATTATGCAGTTTAACTTGCTCTGGGTGAGATTGTCTCATCTGAACCATGGCAAAGAGTGGCACTGTGCTCTGCTCCTTGGGTAGCCTGCTGGTAGCATGATCTGAAGATTTACCATCTCCTTGTTTGAGGTGGGATTAAACTGTAATGGTTCTATAGCTGCAGCATGTGTTTCTGATCCATGGAGCTAGAGGGAAAATTGTATAACATTTATCTGGAAACAGCTTGTGCACTGTGTTGCTTTTGGGTTCTTGCTGCTTTCTGCTGGGGTGACTGAAGCTCAAGGCAGGTGCTGTGTTTGCATTTTAATGTGCACACCAGGCTGTCTTAGCTCTCCCTGCCCAAAGCTGTGAGCTAGTGCTGCACCTTTGCACTTTCTTACTGCCCATCACTGCCACCATGTCGGAGCAGCCACGTTTTTCTTGCTGAAGAAAGACAACTCTTCTCTGCAGAGACTGAAATTAGGACAGGCTTGGGGTCTAATTGCATTCAGCTGGGTGAGTGCAGTGAGGTTTGGCCAGGCAGAGGATGAGTTGTTCTGGGATGTTAACACGTATCACATCAGATCTTTGCTGACCCACTCCAGCAGTTGGTCAGGAGTTTTTAGATCTTACCATGTTCTTTTAATAACTTACTATTGTATGAACCATTGCACTGCTGACCATCTGCTGTGGCATTAGTAGGCATGGGCATTCCAGTAGTCAGCCCCTGATCACAATTTAAGAGTATTTTTTCCTATTAGATTGCTTCTGAAAAGAAACACATTCATAAGTAGGGGGGCAAGTTTTTTTCAACAGCCTGATAGGAACCCCACCCTTAAGTTGGCTAGTACTGCAAGCAAAAAAAAAAAAAAAAAGTGATTTATGCTGAGCCTCAAAGGTTTAAGATTATTTTCTGTTTCTTGACAGCTGAATATACAGCCTCTGGGGTCAGAGCTGTGGGATCCAGTAATGATACACTGATCATGGTTTAAATGTCAGAATTAACTATCTGCTGGCCTATATTCCCTCTTCACTTTCAAGCAGGAGTGGGCAGGTGAAAGTACAAAAGAGATCTGCAGAGGAAGACAATGAAATGATAAAATCAAGTAGAATTCAGCTGTAGTCTGAGCATTTCCTTCATTAACCTCTGTGTGGTAATTGTTGTCTTTATCTCTTGGCTAAATCTCTGGAAAAGTGTTGCCAGAGGCTTTTCATGGTGCTTTGGACAGTGCCTGAAGGAGCTATTTCT